ATGGCCTGGCTCAACCACATAATACCCAAGAATTTGCACCAATACTGACCATTAAAATCATTGATTTCACGGTAAATATAATACAAATCGTGTATACATTTTGTGATACAATTATAGGTTTGCATATTATTTAAATTAGTATTTTGTTTATACAATATATCACTCAATAGGTTATTAATTGTTTGCAATTTAATGGTCAAATAAATGACAATTATGTAGAAACAAGAAAACTGAATAATAATAATCGCGTGACAATAATAGGCGCTTACGGCCCATACAAGTGAATAGGGAATGGACACAAAAATATGCTCAACAATGGTTATGTCAGTCTGTGGCAAAACAATGATAAAGTAGAGACAAATAACAAAATAGCCTAAACTTTTTGTTAAGACTATAGAAAATTTCAAGATTTTACGACATGTATGAATAAATTTCAATACAATTTCCTGATTATTAAAACCAATAGATTTTGGACTCACAGACGCGCTCAACATTTGAAATATGATTATATCTGAACACTGAACACCTTTTAGATAATTGAACATGTTCAGTATTTGCGATAACAGTACTAGGACAATATTGATTAATATCAATATGTTGAACTGTACCGTGCATTTTATGATGTGTCCCACATCGCCGCCATAATAATGAAATTTATCGCTACTTTGCCACCAAATAATCATTACTATGTTTCTGATTATCATTTTTATGTTCATAACGCTTATTATGAATGGATTGTGAAAACAATTCCTAGTATTTGACGGATTCTTATGCAATGATAACCCAATTCTGTACATATGGTTATCCGCACCACTAATAGCCAACTCCGGGGGTAATACATGCGATAAATCCATTGTTGTACTCGATATGAGGGTAGCAGTTTAATTATTTATGTTAAATATTAAGCTTACTATTTTATTATAAATATTTAGTATTTAATTTTAAATAAGTTTAACGCAGTCAAAATTAATCTATAGCAGTACCTTGCTCATAGCAGTCTTAGGCATGAAAACCTTTATTTTAAATAATATAGCTCTATATACATAATAAATATATACGATAAATGATTATCCAAAATACATTTTCCACAGTTATTTAAACATCATTATTGACTAGTTTTATAAATTATAAAATTAAAACCACTAAATTCACATTTAATGATCTTAAAATTTTTAATGGTTATAGAGTCTATAATATAGACCACTGGTTCTCAATTTGTCACTTAAGTGACAACTAACCTTGTAAAAACTTTTAATTTTAAAGCATTTGATTCTACACTAGTTATTTTATTTATTAATATCACCTTACTCACCTTACTAATCAATATAATATTTTATTTCAAAACTAACAGGTTGACAATTCATATATGAATATTTATTAATTATAAGTACTCAAAATAAACAAAAAATAAAATAATCAAGTTTAGACTCATATTATAACAAATAAATGGTGTGTTTTGTTTCATTTATAATTTGTACGAATAAATAAATAATTTTCAAATTATGACTTAACTTTAAGTGTTAGTAAGTGTTAGAGATTAACAAAATAACTAGTGTTGAATGAAATGCTTTAAAATGCAAAGTTGTTACAAGGCTAGTTGTCACTATATTTATAGAATGAGAACCACTGATATAGACTATAACTTATAGTTCATGTTCAGGGATAATAATAATTATAGAAAAGTTTTTTACATTAAATGTCCATCGCAAAGTTATAGCCTATAACTTATAGGTATTAATGTTTATAATGATCTCATTATAAATTGCTAATACTATTTTATTATGCATTATCATTAACAACAATCACCACTAAAATGGCATTTAATGATTTCAGGATTTTTAATTGTTAGTTCATGTAGAGAGATAATTATTGAAAAGTTTCGCTACACTAAATGTCTAATTCAAAGTTATAGGTATTCATGTTTATAAGTTACTAGTACTATTATTATTGTACAGTAATTATCGTTATTATTATTATTATTTTAGTACTACTTATTATGCTTAATTATGAATCTCAATCATTAAATGATATGCAATACTGTAGTTGCATTACAATACTCGACTAAATGATATAATAATCATTAATAAACTAAACATACCTCTTAATATACTGTATAATCAAGAATATTATATTATTATAATCTCTGTGGTCAAAACAAAATGATAATTTGAATCTCAAAATCGTTTTGCAGTGCAGTAGTTTAATATAATTCACAAATACATCCTTATTGTAAATATAAAATTAATATTGCTAATAAAGGAAATAGTCACTTGGTCATTAACATTATAATACTACATTAAAATGTTGATTTAATAAATAAATGCACAATCAAAAATACCCCACTAGATTCACGCACCGGTAGGCGAGCACAGTTAGGTTTTCTGTACAGCAAAAACTACATATTAGAGAAACAAGCAGCACACCCTAAAAAATATTGTGCCCCTCTATCAGGATTAACCTAATAATTGTAATATTAAGGGACAGGGATCAGAATATTCGGTAGATCAGAATATAGATTAATAGGACATATTAAAAATGTGACTTGAACATATTTTTACTCCAAAAGTAGATAAGATTTCCAATTGAAACCATTACGATATGTTAAGAAATAACTGATCCAGAGCAAATCAAAATTCATGTTAGATCCCATCGCAACTCCAATCCCAACCCCAACCCCACTAACCGGCTCTTTGTATGCGATTTCGTGGGTTGCGGGAAGACTCGGGTGAGACCTACCGGTGCGATTGGGAGGGCTGTGAGTCTGTGTTAACAACATTCGCCTATTTAGACAAACATAAGGATTGTAAACATGGCTCGAAATACCGGTGCGATCACAAGGAATGTACCTACCTACCTATAAGACTGGCTCTGAATACCTAATCAGACAACACATGTCGAGCCACGAGGAACGGCAGCTCAAGTGTGGGCTCCGGGAGTGTCGACTAATGTTTAAAGCAGAGAAACACTGGACTGAACATTAGCTCATTCGACATCCCGACGCCTTTCCGGACATACCGTGGATGGAGTGCTCGCATACTGGCTGTCAGTTTAGGACTAAATCCAAAAAGACGTTTATTAACCATAGGAACGGCCACTCGAAGCCATACCAGTGCCGGGTGTGTGGGAAAGGGTTCGTCACATCCGGACAACTCAGACAACACGCGCCCACACATGACAAGGCATTGCTGTTGTCGTGCGAGTGGCCCGGCTGTGAGCACCAGACCACCACTAAGCAGGCTATGAAAGTGCATATGAATACGCATACCGGTGCTCATGGTGGCCCCTGTGAGAAGGTGTATCTCAATGACCACTCGCGTAAGATTCATAGGATGTATATTAGATTTTATAAGCAATGTAATTTTGTCTAATTTTTAATGAACTTTTCATAATAGAGTAATTAAAATGTAATTTTTGCGACAACAGGTAAATTTAATAAAATATTTCTAATTCTACATTTTAACGTTTTAATTACTAAATTTAATTAAAACAAATTTAATTGCAACTAGGCCATCTGTGCGATAGTAGTTATTAACAAAAAAGTACACATAAATCACGAAAACAATGCAATTTTTATTATTCGTATCATAAATCAATTTAAATTAATTAAAATAAATTAATTGACTTTCTATTAAATATTTGATGAATAGTGAACATATAGCCTCAAATATGTATGAATATTATACACACTGTCAAAGTTTGTATATTAGTTTCTTGGTGACATTTCAACCACTTTCAAGAATATAATGATAATCATGGACATAATCTATTCATATAATAAATCATAAATTTAATTCATATGAATGGATTGAAATAACCCTGAATATTTACCTCGTAGCCACGAAATCTATTTATGATAAATAGTTTCCAACAATAAAAACCAATCTTTTGTTTAGAAATTCTTTCAATTATATGAAGTAACTGTAAATATTAAGCAAAATTACTGTACTGTATATAACATTTACATTATCATATAAATTAAATACTACCTTGTACTTTACGGTCACTGAATGAACATAATGTGAACAATATATTGAATTCAGTAGTGAATAGGTTTTGTGAGTTATATTATAAATATCAGATGTAATGCTAATTATAAACAATAACATTATGATATATACGCAAAGAAAAGCGGTTAATAGGATTTTTACTATTATTATTACTGCGGACATGAAGCAAATAATATATGCAAACACGGATATACAAATGGCCTGGGTCAACCACATAATACCCAGGAATTTGCACCAATACTGGGCATTATAATCATTGATTTCCCGGAAAATTTCATACAAATCGTGTATATATTTTGTGATATGTTCATAGGGTGGTGTATTATTGAAATTAGTATCTTGTTCATTCAACATATCACTCAATAGATTATTCATTGTCTGTAATTTAATTTTCAAATAAATGACAACTATGTAGAAACAGGAAAATTGAAAAATCATGAATGAGTGAACATAATAGACAGTTAGAGCCCATACAAGTGAATAGGAAATCGACACAAAAATATGTTCAACAATGGTTATATCAGTTTGCGGTAAAACAATGATAAAATAGATAAAAATAGCAAAATAGCCTAAAGTTTTTGTTAAAACTGTAGAGAAATGTAAGATTACGCGAGATTTATGAATAAATTTTAATAAATTATGTCTATTATTGAAACCAATGGTTTTCGGACTCACAGACGCGCTCAACATTTGAAATATGATTACATCTGAACACTGAATACCGTTTTTATAATTGTAAAAGTTATGCAATTGTGATAACAGTCCTACAGAAGTAGCAATTAATACAAATATGTTGAACTGTACCGGGCATTTCATAATATGTCCCACATCGCCGCCATAATAATGAAATTTATCGCTACTTTGCCGCCAAATAATCATAACTATATTTCTGATCATCATTTGTATAATAGTAATGCATATTATGAATGGATTGTGAAAACAATTCCTAGTATTTGACGGATTCTTATGCAATGATAACCCAATTCTGTACATATGGTTATCCGCACCACTAATAGCCAACTCCGGGGGTAATACATGCGATAAATCCATTGTTGTACTCATTATGAGGACAACTGTTTATTTATTTATGTTAAATATTAAGCATGTTATTTTATTATAAATATTTAGTATTTTTAAATATGATTAATACAGCTAAAAGTCTTAGGTATGAAAACCTTGATTTTTACATAATATGTTTAATAAATTTATATATACTGTACAATAAATTATTGTCATATACAATTCTTACAGTTATTTAAACATCTTTAATGATAATTTTTATAAATTATAAAACTAAAACCACTAAAATCACATTTAATGATCATAAGATTTTTAATGGTTATAATTCATGTTCAGGGATAATAATTATTATAGAAAAGCATTTTATATTAAATGTCTATCGCAAAGTTATAGGTATTAATGTTTATAATGATTTCATTATAAATTGTTAATGCTATTTTATTATGCATTATCATTAACAACAATCACCACTAAATTAACATTTAATGATTTCAGGATTTTTAATTGTTATAGTTCATGTACAAGGATAATTATTGAAAAGTTTTGCAACTCTAAAACTAAATGTCTAATTCAAAGTTATAGGTATTATTAATGCTTATAATTTACCAGTACTATTAGTATTGTACAAATTTGTAATTATCATTATTATTATTAGTGTAGTGCTACTTATTATGCTTAATTATTAATCGCAATCATTAAATAATATACTGTAGTTGCACTCGGACTAAATGATACAATAATCATTACCTAGCCCACATATTGGCGGAGCTATTTTTTCCAAACTCTCCACACTCTGCATAAACCAACCCATGTTAGGCCTCTCGCATATATCTATATTAATTTATACAAAACTGAAAAGCGATACAATATGAAATATTTTAAAAATGATTTTTTTAATCAATAGTTGCTAAACTCCACACTCTGCATAAACCAACCCATGTTAGCCCTCTCGCATATATCTATATTAATTTATACAAAACTGAAAACGCTATGTTATACTTTATAAAATTTTTACTAAAAAAATTAGTTATCAACGATTTAATACTTAGTTTAATCGGCTTATCAATTGATTTAAATCAATTAATTAGTGTTTTAATTGATTTAACACTTTATAGTAAACAAATTTTGTTAATAATTTAGTCAATTTTATACATCAGTAAGTTAATTTGATTTAAATTTATTAATTTTAATTAATATTAATTATATTAATTTAATTATAATATTAGTCCCTGATGCTCATATGGGGTTTGGAGAAGTGCGGGGGAGGGGGAGGGGCTGTTTATGTCCTGTTTTGATTGGCACTCCATTAAGAATCTCAGTGATAGGGTCGCCACCATTGGATTCTAGCACTCATTTCATGCCATCATGTGTACTGTTTGGGTGTTTATTATTGAAACTCTGTTATAAACACATCCCGCACTCCTCCCAACCCGAGTGACTATTCCTATAATTTGATGTATAATCTGAGTTGGCAACACCGTGACTTGTTAATAAATTGTACTGGTATAATCGGTAATAACTATTGACAAATTGAATTGATAAAATTAGGCAAATATCATTAGCTAGTCCCGTAAATCTAGTTATGTACATATGATAGGCTTTCTGTAAAAGAGAACGATCTCTAAATACAAATATATGAGTAGTTATTATGAGTTATATTATAAACTATAAGTAATGTATGAATCTAATGAATGCATGAAAATTAGTTTTTATATATTAATAATTAAATTAAACTAATATAATTTTTTGTATTCATATTTTTATGAATAACAGTAGTATTAAATACTAAGATAAACTTTTATCACCTATCATATTGACATGCTGATTTGGCAGATGAAATAACATTATTCCTATGTAAGGCACTTTCTAAACACTTAATATAATATAATAAAATACTGAATATATTCACGTATAATACTGTTTGGTCATATATTTTCCGCTAATACCATTTATACTTGCACAATTTACTGACAAGTCACGATGTTTCCCACTGAGAATTGTTTGTAATCAACTTGAAATTTGATCATGAATTTTAATTAAACTATACGAGTAAATAGCAAAATAAATTAATGCCGTAAGTATTATTTAGTCTTAATGATACTTATTTAATATATACGGTAGTAATATGTTTTTACAAATTAACTTATATTCATAAATATTCGTTAATAACCATCATGGTTGGTTTTACACAAAACCGCATCATTTAGTACAACTAAATTTCAGCCAAACTATTCTTTACTACTAATACAATAATGTAACCTAATTTTTAGGATAAGCGTACGGGTTTTAACCCTATAATTGAACTTAGTCTCGCTTTTGTGAGGGATTCCGAGTGGAAACGGATCCGTACAGTAATGACAGCTATGTTTACGACCGCAAAAGTCAAACGACTGACTCCTTTAATCCTCAAATGCGTGGACACTATGAACGACAATATCGACAACATTATTGGCAAAAGTAATGGCAAACTATCGGCACCGGTAGACGTGAAACCACTAACAGGTGCCTATGCTATGGAGAGTATAATAAATGTGACCTTCGGCGTGAAGGTGTCAGCAATGGCTGACCCTAACAACCCTATTATAGAAAATATCCGCAAGATTAATAAGCAGAGTTTATTATCCTGGGTGAGATTATCAATCATACTGTTAGCTCCATATGTGGCCAGAATGTTGAGATTATCGCAGTTGGATCATAAAGTTACGCAATATTTCCGCGACCTTACGCTAAATCTAATCGATGAGAGGAATCGTGTGTCGGAAACCGAAAGAGCCGTAAAAAGGGTCGACTTTTTGCAACTAATGTTGGATTCAATGAGAGATAAGAGCAATGAGACGATCGATGGGTCCGAAGAATATACGGATAGTGGAAGTGGAGAGAAATATCGGGAGATACGGGCCACGGCTAGCATGAGGGGTAATGGTAAGTATTGCATGAGTTGAAAACAAAGTAAAAATAAGCTTGTTTATATATTCACTTATCGAGAGTTTTAATCGTTTATATAAACAAGGAATAACTTTTATATCAAGTCTTAATAAATTACGTGAACGTAATTCTAATTCACAGGTCTTTCATACGACGAGATCGTAGCCCAATGTGTAATGTTTATGTTAGCTGGGTACGATGGCGTTTCCGTCACGATATCCATATGTTTGTATGCAATCACTAAACACCCGGAAGTCCAGCAAAAACTATACAAAGAAATTCATACATTTCACGAGCAAAAGGTTTGTGTAAATTTGTTTTGACATTTATTTCAGCATCGTAAATTTGTTTATACATAATGTGGATAAGTGCCCACGAAATACAAACAATTGGTTTTAAAATTTAATGTTCGTTAAAATGTTTATTTATATATTAATTAACATTTCTGATTAGGCGGCGTGCACAGAGTAAGTACGCAACATATTCGTCAAAAATTGACCACCCCTCTGCACCCCCCATCGTACATAGGAATTTAACATGTTGACTCTAGCATTGGCATGACCCCCCTACGAGTGCGAATGCACTTTGTACACACCGCCTTAGTATTTTCAAATCAAATCAAATCAAACTTAATTGGAAACTATCAATAAAAATTGGTTTTCATAGAAATCCTTTTAAAATATGAATAAACAGATAATAAGTAACAATAATTGAAAAATAATTAAAATTTATGGCAAAATCAGATCATTGAGTGAAAAGTTTTCAAATCTCGATTTGAATCTCTTTATCGTTGTTTCGGACCTAATATCGAGGGGAAGATTATTCCACATTATGTGAAGTCTGTCTCTCCCTGCCCTCCGACTCGTCCTATTTGTGTGCATTTCAAAGAGATCTCTTGAATGTTGAAAATTAAAGCCATTAATGCTAAAAATATAAATCATTGACTCGTATTTGATTGCATTTAAAAGCGATTTCCAGTTCAGACGATCAAAAAGCGGTCAACTGTTTGCCAAATACGAAGATTTTGTTATAACTCTTGCAAACCTTTCTGGAGTTTCACTAATTTATTAACATGTTATCCATAAGTATAACCCCAGAGTTGGGAACCGTATTCAAGTTTTGGCCGACCTATCGATTTATATACAAAGTTTGTGGTGTTTTCGGGCAAATACTTTCGCAATCGACTGATTAGTCCTAATCTTGAGTTTTGATAATATTAATACTAATAATATATATTAGGTGAAACAGAAAGTCCGTGGAACAATTCATTTTAATATATCTCCCAAAGTACAAATGACGAGAATAAAGAAAGGATTCGCCTAATATGTAAGACCAAAAACCATAGTTAAGGTTTAAATATAAATTTGATAACTTAAATAGTTTAGCAATAACCCGCATTTTAGTAGTCAAATCTTATGGACAAAACTTTTTTCGAAATCTGATACATAAATTGAATTGTGTAATTGTATGAGACTGCTTTATGCCATTAAACAAAAGAATTTTAGCAATAATTACCGATATATGTACACAAAATAATAGTATAACATTATATACAACTAAATATCAATGACAAAATGAGGATGTCAGCGATAGTTAAACGTATTAAATCGTTCGATTAAATGAACTACGCGGTTCAAATCAGTTAAGTTTTACAATTAACACAATGACCAATTGATTAGTATTGTTAATCTTGGTGAGTTAGCTCTAAGCACGGAGCTACAAGGGATGACAGATTAAAGTTCATTTGTTTATGAATACCACCAATACACTCATATTCAGGCAATTTTATTAAATTTTAAGTCAAAATTACAGTGTTTTATACAGTTTTATGAGTCATAAAGTTATTGAGTCATCATTAATGACTATTAATAAGTAACGAGATTATAAAAATTATTTTAAACAATTTTATTCTTGATGAAAAAATATCTAAGCTAATAAATAAAACATGGTAATTATCCCAAAACTACCGGGTTGGTGAGGGGAGGGAAGGGGGGATTATACGTATTGTATGCCCCCATCGGCCACGAAGTTGGATCCGGTCACAAAAGACGCGTCATCGGACGTCAAATACAACACGGCTTTTGACACTTCCATGGGCTCAGCCACCCGTCCCAATGGAGTCATCTCCGCCAACCCCTCCAATAATTGGTCAGATTTTTCTTTATTCACGTGTAGACCGAGTCTCAAGCCCTCAGTGTTCACGACACCGGGACTTTGGGCGCACAAAAATTAAATTAGCTAGCACATTTATTTAGTAGCAATTAAATTGAATAAAAGCAAGCACATACTTGACTACGTTAGCCCGGATGCCTTTGGGGCTCAACTCGAGCGCTACGCACTTTGTGAACATATCGAGCGCCACCTTTGACATTGAATACAACGGTTCGCTCTAATCAAAAAAAAATAAGCAATATAATTTTATTTTTATACTCTTAATTTCGTAAGATTTATTTAATAAAGCATTACTTTATTGTTAGTTAAAATGATCCGGATAGTGCCTATCATGGTTGACAAAAAGTTGTTAAATAGTTTTTCATTTCCCATAAAAATATGTATATTCCTGCTCTACTGTATAATATTTAACGAATATACCTTAAATAACGTTTCCTTGGTTAAAATAAGCGGATAATTATTATTGTACTATAGATCAAACAAGGTTAGCTGAAGTTTATCGATACAATACGCGTTTCTATGAAATTCATTAAATAATTTTTGGCACTAAATGTATTAGCCTTAAAAGGGACAACAAAAGTAACATTCTCCCCCTTTCATAGTACATACTCTCTCTTTGTCATTAATGACGGGTGGGGGTAGGGTAGGGGTAGGGTGGGTGTCAAAATGATTATAGTATACGTGGTCTATTCGTAGTGGAAAAGCGTAGGAAAATAATAAATAAAATGTTTATACTGTATATTATATAAATACCGGTTTAAAGGCCGAAGCGCTGGAAATGTTAACGATATTACCCTTAGTTTTTGCCAAATGCTCGACACATAAGTGAGTCAACCGTATCACTGATCGGAGGTTTGTGTTCATAATGAGCTCATACTTGTCGAGGATATCCCCGTCCAATATACTGTGCGCCATATTCCAGGCGGCGTTGTTCACTAAAATGTCCAACTTTTTGAATGTCTTGATAGTATCGGCCACCAATCGGCGACAGTCGTCATCGTTGGTGACATCGGCCACTACTTCCAGCGCTTTAACACCTGTAGGCGACGCCTCAGCGCACTGTTTAGCCACAGCGCACACCCTATCCTTCCTGCGACCGGTGACCACCACATGAGCCCCGAGTCGGGCGAACTCTACGGCAGTTTGGGCGCCGATACCACTGCTCGAGCCGGTGATCAGCACTACTTTGCCCGTGAAATCTCTGGAAGTCGTCATTATTTTAGTCTAAAGTAATAATATCTTAAACTTTATGTAAAAATAAATCAAAATAACTGTTAATATAAGCGATTGTACATATTCATTACAAGTTTTCTATACATTACTGTAAACGTTATTTAGCAAAAACCTTTTGTGATGTAATAATATATCACTTTATATTGAAGGGATGGGGCACTCGAGGTGTGACTATAGCTTTATAAATCGGTTGACGATTTGTACGAATTAAACGATTTGTTGATTAAGAGATTAACGTGACATCGATTACACGCGTTATGCCAATGAATACGGAAAGGGAAGGGAAAGGGAGGCGAACAGATTAACGATAAAAGGAGGGCCACATCTAGTAGTCCCTCAGTATTGACCCTATATTACAAAGCCTTTAGTAACAGCAATATAATTCACGCAATTTTGCGAATCATTTGTTGTTTTATTATAATATATTATAATAATTTTATTTCTCTGTCATGATGTTATTGAGATTTTAAATATTCTATTATTTTATATTATATATTGAATGTTGATCATATTCAATAAAAATTAAAAATTAACACGGAACCTTACATAATAGGCATTTTCAAATATTATGTAAATATGCACACCCTGTCACTAATTACCTTCAAATGCATCAAGCTTGTTTAGGCTCTGAACCTTTTTATACTTTTTATATGGCTGTTTCATACGGCATATTTTAATTATAAAAAGGACCTTAAATAATTTAAACTTTTAATTTTGAGCACCGTCTGTTCTTGTTGCCAGGCAAATTGAATTTGCCTGTCATTGTCTATCATCAGGCAACTTTAATTTGCCTGTCGATTTGGATTTTTAATCAATTTAATTCAATTTATTTTAATTATAATTGTTGTTTATTATCAACTAATTTCTCACACACAGAGATATTTGAATAAAAAAATTTAAATGTAAATATAGTAAAAGTAATGAATATTATGCAAACAATAATACATTAAAACAGAATATAATCAGGGTTCACATGAAGGGAAAGCCTGTCTACCAGTGCTCGCAACCATTTCAAAATTTTGTGCTAAATGTCCAATTACAAATCATTTTTATAAATTTCAAAACAATTTGTCCTAAATGTTTTATTACAAATCATTTTTATAAAGCATAATATAAATAAAATTTATTTGAGTGAAATTATTTTATTCAAATAATGCGCACCCGGAGTATAGTGCGCTCTTTACTTTTACCTAAAAATTACTTTTTGTTTAATTTATTTTCTATTAAAACAGGGTAATGTAAAACTCAACATCTTAATAGGTAGGCCAATCGACTGGGCCCGATAACGTGCGCCACTGCAATAGGAATCCTCCCTCGCAAACAAGTGTACTCCCGGTCACGAAACTTGAGTCACGCGACGCTATAAACAGTACTGCGTTTACGTTTTCTATGGGCCGAACCATACGTCCCAAAGGAATCTGTTGAGGCATTTGTTCATAAATGGCGTCCAACTCATCACTCGTTAGACCCAAACTGTCATAGAATCCACTTTTGATAGGCGCCGGACCTTGTGGAAAAACATGATTCGTATATGGATTAAATGAATGGATTAACCGGTTATCTCTATATTTAAACACTATGTAATGAACTTTAGGCACTGTTTTAATCAAGTACATTATGGTTAATAGTTCAATACATAGTGCTCTAATATATAGATAAACGGTTATTCCATTCATTGAGTCATAATATGATTCAATCGAATACCAGACAGTGTCCCAATGCAAATACGGCAATGAACTGTAGATTTTTAAATAGATTTTATTACCTATATGTTTTGAAATACAATTACGTTTAAACAAAACTGATTTTCCTTGATAATTCTTAAGTGAATAATGTTAACTTAGATCATGTATCACTTTACCGATTGGTTCTAGGATCTATGGTAAAAAATGTACTACCCCAAAAGGCCTAAAACCCAAATCGCCTAAACCCCAAAAGGAATAAACCGATAAGGCCTAAACTCAAATAACTGGTCAGTGGCCGTATTTTCAATTTAATTAGTGGATTAGACTTGTCATAAGCTAAATTAAGTCAAATGACCATTGGTCAGTTAGTTATTCAAGTTTAGACCGTTTGGGTTTAATAATAGAGTATAAATATAAGTGTTTCAAAAGCAATACTAGACTGCATTGACTCGGACGCCATTGTGGGCCAACTCTAGTGCCAAACATTTTGTGAACATATCCAACGCACACTTCGAAATATACAGTGTGTTTCACCATCAGCCGCTGACTTTGAATTGAAATAGCTCAAAAACCAAATTAGATAGCAAGGCACTCTCGACGGTTTCTAAAACTAAAAAGTATAGCAAATTCTTTGACATACTGATCACCCAGGTGCGACTTATATTAATGTTATTTCTATAAGCACTCTTGCAGACATGATTTACAGTATGAACAAAATGAACAAGATAAATACAATCTATA